GCCAGTTAGTGACAAATCAGGAATTAGAACTCAAATCCTATTAATCATAGAAGCTACTTCTCCACTTAACCCTTTTCCCGTATTCTCAGCATCAACATGCAAGTGGACCACTGAGCTGCAGGGAGTAGACAACATATCTGGGAAGCTTTGGGCTAGAGAGTTGGGGACAGAAACTCCTCTACTTTGGGGTGTAAATTGAAGTGCCTTCACCTCTCCTAATCCACACAAGTGCTTTGGCCAAGTCATGGATTTACAGTTTCACTTTAAAATCACCACCAAGTCAACACCATTTCACATAGTGAGTCGTTAGTGCCATTTATAAAACCTTGCACTCGAGGCATTGCCTACCAAGTGAGGTTTCTCTAAGAAGCTCCTTTCAATAGAAAAAGGAAACTTCCAGAGGCAGAGTATGGGGCACCTGGGGCGGGGAAGAACCAGGTGGCACAGAGAGTGACATACCTGGCTGCCTCAGCTTTGTCTCTTCTCTCCATTCCATGAGGAGATGGTGCAAAATTGCTGGTCTCAGCAACCTTTTGGCCAATGCCAGATTCACTACCTCTTTGGGTATGAAACTTCAGGTCAGCCTTGTGCATACTTTTAAATCTGTTGGCTGTATTTACTGCTGCAACCCCTGCTTAAAAGAAGAGGAAGGAGGAGGAGGAGAAGAAGAAGGAAGAAGAAACAATGTAACAGATGTAACTCAAGACTGTGGAGTTGCCTACCTCTGTTCACATTCAGTTACCAGTAAGTGCTCCCATTAACTGAACCTCCAGCAGTTACACAGAAAGACAAAGTGCAACATTTCTAAACTCTAGCAAGTAAACAACCCTGCAGCCAAACCAAGCAGAAACACCCAATACCTACTGGGGTCAGAGAGGATGCTTGCTTTTCAAATATGGATTGTCTAGATATTTATAAAATTTTAATTTGTCTAGATATTTATAAAATTTTAAATCTTAAGGAAGCATGAGGGAGTCTAAGAAAGACATTACTGCTGTGCTAAACTTCCAATTCTGCAAGCTGCACATATTCAGAAAAGAAATGGAAAATAATTACCCCCAAATCTGTCATTTATAGTGGCTTTTATCCTTTTACTTCCTAGAAGCTCCTTGAATTGTGTCAAGGGCCCAGATACTCAGCTGGGAATCTCAGAAGTGTTCCTGGGAGCCCAGGCTGATCCATCAGCCTCCCGACTTTTCAGGACCAGAAAGACTTGCTTAACTAGAGGAATAAAGTTCACAGAGAGCAAGGAATCCTCTTGTCACCCAGAGTGTTTTCATAGGAAGGATGGCCTGGAGTCATCCTAAATCCTCAGAGGAGCCACTGAATTCTTAGGTGATGATTTAAAAAATGCAGGAGAAGATGAATGCTTCTACTAAGAAAAATAGGCAGTTTCAGAAGTGGATACACATTTTCAGTGTTTACAACTTAAGGCTGTTATTGAGGGCTACAAAATTTCAATAAAATTAGACTAAATTTCTCCAGCTCTTTCTAACTGAAATTGGTACAACTTGCTCTTTCTGATGCTGTCTTACTTTTCACTGGCACACCTTGTGCTCAATTATACTTGGGAGGAGTAATCATTTACCCACTGTTTAAATTTACTCAACAGGCATTTCTTGAGGGCCCATCATTAAAGTCCGGAGCCATTTCTCAACATAGGAGGTATAGTCAGTGTGAGCTGGTGTTGAGATGAGTTAAGGCCGTGGGACCCAAGGCCACGACCTGAGCATGTTTGTAGTATGCAGTAAATAATTGCTCCACACATGTGCCAATTATATAAGATTTAGGACAAAGAAAATAGAAGTATGCATGTGCTAGAGATATTCTGTAAGCCTAATGAACAAAGAAACTCAGACTGCGCATGTGCTGACAGAAAACAGATAAAAGCAGGACAGGTGCATCATAGGTGCACCTCCCTGTGGCAATAAAGTGTTGTTAACCCCATGGTGTCTCCAGCTGAAGTCTGTCCAGCAGTATGGC